AGAGGACTTTCAGTATCCTCTTCTTCTATGTCAAGTATCACAAAATCCATAGGAAAAATGAACTTATCTACTTTTACTAAAACATCTTCAACCACACCTTTAGGCTTCTTAATAGATCTATCTGCAAGATGCAAAATAAGATTAGTTTCCTTCAGGGTGTTGATTCCCAAGGCTCTACATACCGTCAATGGCATCAGGTTTATGCTGGCTCCCAAATCACAGAGTGCTTTCCCCACTTCCACATCTCCTATAGCAATAGAGATGCTGAAACTTCCTGGATCTTGCAATTTTGGTGGAAGTTTCTTCTGAATCAGGGCACTACATTCTGCTGTCAGGGCCACTGTTTCACCAGCATTCAATTTCCTCTTCTTAGTAAGGAGATCTTTCATGAATTTGGCATAGTGGGGCATGTTCTCCAAAGCCTCAGAAAATGGAATGTTAATTTGCAAATTTTTGAAAATATCCAGAAATCTTGCATAGTGCTGTTTCTGAATCTCCTGCTTCAACCTCTGAGGGTAAGGAACTTTGGCATATGGAGACAAAGTTACTGGCTGCTCCTGCTTGTCAGCCATCTTTTTCTTCTCCCACTTCATTATCTTCTTAGGCACAACATCATTTTCAACTACCACCTTTTTTTCTTCCTTGTCTTCCGTCACTGTTTCTTTTTCTTCATTTCCTTTCACATTTTCTACTCCATCATTAGAGACTACATCTTCAACCACAACCTCCTCTTCATTCTTCTTATTCCCCACCTTCTTTTCCACTTGTTGGAGCACTAACCCACTTCTTGTCATGATTGCTTTGCAATGCTCCTTAGGATTCACCATTGTATCACCAGGAAACTTCCCCTGTGATCTCTCAGATATCTGTCTTGATAGTTGACCAATTTGGGTCTCCAAATTTCTGATAGATGCTTCCTGGTTTCTAAATGAAGTCTTGGTCTCTTATATGAATGCAAATGTTTGCTCTCTGAATGAGTTGGACCCTTGAATATAATCTTGAGTGGTCTTGGATAACTGAGCAAAGGCTTTTTCCCATGCAGCAGGATCACTTTGTTGTGATGAATGTGTTGAAGGAGGATGCAGTGGAGGATTCAACTGATGGTTGGAACTATAACTAAATCCTGGGTGCTGATTCTTGTTCTTCCATGGTGGCATATACACATTTTGCCCCTGGTTATTGTAATTCCTCTAGTTGTTGTTGTCATACCACACTCCATTAACTTCTGCTTGTTCTGATGATCCCCCATAATCACATTCTTCTGTCACATGGCCCTTCCCACAGATAGCACACACGCACTTGGTGTCCACAAAAGCAACCTTTTGTGAGGATAGTTGCTTAGTGAGAACATCCAACTGTTGTTGTTGTTGTTTCTGTGTCTGCATCAACTGGTCATTCCTTGCCAATAGGACATCATATCCATCCAACTTGATAATCCCTGCCCTTCTGTCAGGCACAGGGGCATTATCAAATTCCTGAGATGCCAATGATTCAAAGATATCCAAAGCTTCTTGAGGAGTCTTGGTGGTCAATGATCCACCAGCAGTGGCATGAACCCATGTCCTAGTGGTGGTGGTCATGCCTTGTAGAATGATTGCTGCTTGTTGCCATGCCTCTATCCCATGCTGTGGACATTTCCTCAATAAGGTCTTGAACCTCTCCCATGCCTCATAGATGGATTCTGATTCTTTTTGCTTGAAGCCTGAAATTTCATCCTTCAACTTAGCCCTCTTGGATGCTGAGAAAAACCTCTGCAAGAACTTGGTTTGCAAATCATCCCAAGTTGTGATACTCCCCTGAGGCAATGATTGCAACCATCTCCTTGCATCATCCGTCAGTGAATGAGTGAATAGTCTCAACAGAATTGCATCCCTTGTGACACCATTAATTTTTACAGTATCACTCAACAGAAGAAAATTTTCTATGTGCAAGTATGGGTCCTCTGCACTGGTTCCAGCAAACTGATCTTTCTGTACCAAATGTATCAATGCAGGTTTCAATTCGAAGTTGTTTGGCTCCACTGTAGGGCGCACAACACTTCCTATGGGCTGGATCACTGCAGGAGTCATATAATCCCCCAGTGTCGTCTGTTCTGGTGGTGGTCTGTGGTTCTCTGCCATTATCTCTTCTTGGTTGTCAGCACTGGATTCACCCCTTTCTTCAAACCGTCTTCTTTGTCTGGCTGCCCTTTTATTCTTCTTCACTGTCCTTTCTAATTCTGGATCATACAACAACAAATTTTTATCAACCGTACCTCGCATACACCAGAATTAAAATTGACCAACAACTTAACTAAAAAATAAAATGCTGAAACTAAAAGATTCAATCTCAGATTTCTATGGTATCAATCAATGTTGATACACAAATCCCCGGCAACAGCGCCAAAAACTTGTTGCATATCTAGCAAGTGTACTAGTCGTACAAGTAATAAAATGATGAGTAAAGATCGTTCCCACAGAGATTTGTATTCAAACACCAATGAACCATAAAAAAACTAATTTGAATTAAACAAAAGTTTGTAAAAATCATGAATGTTTTGTCACCAAAAAGTTAATTTGAAAGTAAATTAATTTAATGCTAACAATTTGAATTAAAATTTATAAAAACCAGTAGTCAGAAAACAACTTTCCTCAACAACGAACTCAAGTAAACTGATCATATGATGAAATCTTTTTCATGTGATGTTAATCAACCTTTTACTTATCCTCAAGATGTAATCCCTTACTACCCTGATAGATACATTAATCAGAGACCCCAATCCCTTGGTGATTCCTTTCTTAATCTATGCATGAAATGTTAAGGTCTTAAGACTACATCAGAACTATAGCATCAATTCCTTGAGTACTATAAACCTGATGATGAAATTGTCAAATATAGGAATAGTGTAAACATTCCTGTTCTACACTCTTCCCTTAGTAGAAAGAATTGAATCAGAAAATCTCATATCAACACATGAAAAACACTTCATCATATTAATCAAATATACATAAGAATATCACTGAGTTCCATTGAATTTAGACTACCATGACTCTACTCAGACATAATAAAAGAAGATAAAAGATAAGAAAGATCAAACTCCATTTCCATGTAGTGAATCTTCAATCTGCAAGTGCAATTACAATAGAGAAACTAACTAATACAAAGACTAAGTCTAAGAGTTGTAGAGAGAAGTCAGATCAGAAATTCTGATGTAAGAGAGAGGGAGAGAAAGACTCCAAAAACTTGTTGCATATCTAGCAAGTGTACTAGTCGTACAAGTAATAAAATGATGAGTAAAGATCGTTCCCACATAGATTTGTATTCAAACACCAATGAACCATAAAAAAACTAATTTGAATTAAACAAAAGTTTGTAAAAATCATGAATGTTTTGTCACCAAAAAGTTAATTTGAAAGTAAATTAATTTAATGCTAACAATTTGAATTAAAATTTATAAAAACCAGTAGTCAGAAAACAACTTTCCTCAACAATGAACTCAAGTAAACTGATCATATGATGAAATCTTTTTCATGTGATGTTAATCAACCTTTTACTTATCCTCAAGATGTAATCCCTTACTACCCTGATAGATACATTAATCAGAGACCCCAATCCCTTGGTGATTCCTTTCTTAATCTATGCATGAAATGTTAAGGTCTTAAGACTACATCAGAACTATAACATCAATTCCTTGAGTACTATAAACCTGATGATGAAATTGTCAAATATAGGAATAGTGTAAACATTCCTGTTCTACACTCTTCCCTTAGTAGAAAGAATTGAATCAGAAAATCTCATATCAACACATGAAAAACACTTCATCATATTAATCAAATATACATAAGAATATCACTGAGTTCCATTGAATTTAGACTACCATGACTCTACTCAGACATAATAAAAGAAGATAAAAGAGAAGAAAGATCAAACTCCATTTCCATGTAGTGAATCTTCAATCTGCAAGTGCAATTACAATAGAGAAACTAACTAATACAAAGACTAAGTCTAAGAGTTGTAGAGAGAAGTCAGATCAGAAATTCTGATGTAAGAGAGAGGGAGAGAAAGACTCCAAAAACTTGTTGCATATCTAGCAAGTGTACTAGTCGTACAAGTAATAAAATGATGAGTAAAGATCGTTCCCACAGAGATTTGTATTCAAACACCAATGAACCATAAAAAAACTAATTTGAATTAAACAAAAGTTTGTAAAAATCATGAATGTTTTGTCACCAAAAAGTTAATTTGAAAGTAAATTAATTTAATGCTAACAATTTGAATTAAAATTTATAAAAACCAGTAGTCAGAAAACAACTTTCCTCAACAATGAACTCAAGTAAACTGATCATATGATGAAATCTTTTTCATGTGATGTTAATCAACCTTTTACTTATCCTCAAGATGTAATCCCTTACTACCCTGATAGATACATTAATCAGAGACCCCAATCCCTTGGTGATTCCTTTCTTAATCTATGCATGAAATGTTAAGGTCTTAAGACTACATCAGAACTATAGCATCAATTCCTTGAGTACTATAAACCTGATGATGAAATTGTCAAATATAGGAATAGTGTAAACATTCCTGTTCTACACTCTTCCCTTAGTAGAAAGAATTGAATCAGAAAATCTCATATCAACACATGAAAAACACTTCATCATATTAATCAAATATACATAAGAATATTATTGAGTTCCATTGAATTCAGACTACAATGACTCTACTCAGACATAACAAAAGAAGATAAAAAAGAAGAAAGATCAAACTCCATTTCCATGTAGTGAATCTTCAATCTCCAAGTGCAATTACAATAGAGAAACTAACTAATACAAAGACTATGTCTAAGAGTTTTAGAGAGAAGTCAGATCAGAAATTCTGATGTAAGAGAGAGAGAGAAAGACTCTAGATTCTCCAACTTGTGAAGGCCTTTGACTTATATAGTTTTACAATTTAAAACAAAATTTTAATATGGGCGCAAAAACGTTCATAATGAGCGTTTTAGCGTCCATGCTTGACGGATGCCCAAATGCTTTAAACTAACTTGAACGCTTAAACGTTCATAATTGGACGTTTTAGCGTTCATGCCTCGTGAATACTCAACTGTCTTCAACTGACTCCAGCGCTAGAACACTTGGTTTGGACGTTTTAACGTTGGAGACCAGAGATTTTTAAACATTGGGGAGCTAAAACGTTCGTTGAAGGAAGTTTTAACGCCCAAGACCAGCAACTTTTCGTCCTCAGAATGTAGCAGCGCGCTAAAACGTTCTGTGTGGCCGTTTTAGCGCTCAGCACCAGCAAGTTTTGGCCTCTTTCTGCAACAGGGCGCTAAAACCTTCTGTGTAGACGTTTTAGCGCTCAACACTTGGGCATTTTTCTCCTCTTCAAAATCTCCTTCCTTCTCCAATTGCCTTTTTAGCTAGCTTTTCTACAAGAACAATACAAATTCTCAATAAAGCTTCTTGAACTTGTAGCTGAGGAAATTCTAGGACATTAACCTCTTTTTCCATCATTTAATCACAAAAATTGATATGAATTCATGCTGAAAAACTTGATGAACTAAGGGTTTATCAGTGGGTGCCTGAAGTTGGTCAGCTTATTGATAAAGCCACTAGTACCATCCCTGAAGATGCTAAAGGTTGGAAGGTTGCTTGCTGTGTTAGGCCAGATGGTGAGTGGGATCGGGGTAAATTTAGTATGTTCCTCCCTGAGGAGGTTTGTGAAGCCATAGCTAAGTTGGAGTGTCCGAAGGAGGGAGATGAGGAAGATAGGATATACTGGAAGCCTTCTAGCAATGGCTTGTTTTCTGTTAAGTCTGCTTACCAATTTATCAGGATGGATAATCCTGGTTTGCAGCAACATGATAGTCAATGGGATCTTGCTTGGAAGTGGAAGGGACCAGAGAGAGTGAAACATTTTTTATGGTTGTTGATTAGGGACAAACTGTTAACCAGTGAGCAAAGAAGAAGAAGGCATATGGGAGATGAAGCTAACTGTCCTAGATGCATGCTTTTTTGTGAGGATTGTTTCCATGTGATGAGGGATTGTGGTTGGGCTAAACATGTGTGGATGTTGTTAATTGATAAAAGAATTTCTATTTCTTTCTTTTCTGGTGATATGCTGGATTGGCTTCAATTTAACTTGGGAGGAGGGAAGAAGGATAATCAGGACCAGTATTGGAAGCTCACTTTTGGAGTGACTTGTTGGATGATTTGGCAAGCTAGGAATAATCTGGTGTTTAGAAATGAAAACTGCTCTCGTGAGAATTTTTGTCAAAAGATAAGGACCTTTGTGTAGAATGTAGTTCATGCTGAAACTGTTTTGGATACTGCAGCTATTCATGTGGCTGGTAAGGAAGAAAACAGGGTTCTGTGGAGACCTCCTCAAAAGGGCTGGATAAAAATCAATTCGGATGGGTCCTGTTCATTGGATGGGTACAAATCTGGATGTGGAGGTGTGTTAAGGGATAGTGATGGCAGATGGCTGATGGGTTTTATAAAGAAAATTGGGCAAGGAAATCCCTTAAAGGATGAGTTATGGGGTATGCTACTAGGGTTACAAGTGGCTTGGGAGCATGGTTTCAGAAAAATTCATTTGGAAGGGGACTATGCGGAAGCAATTCAATTGGTTCAAGGTGTTTGTCCGCTGGATCACCCTTTTGGCCATCTGGTGCATAAAATCAAGGAGTTCATTGACAAGCAGTGGAGTGTTGTGCTGACTCATACAAATAGGAAAGGAAATGAAGTGGCAAATTTCTTGGCCTCAATAGTAGACCATAATTCTTGGGAATTGGTTATTTTACCTAATATTCCTATAGGTTGTTTTAGTTTTGTTGAGAAGGATCTGATGGGAATTGCTAGTCTTTCCACTGATCTTTAGGTAGCTGGTTTTCTGGTTTGTTTGTTATCCCCTAATATCCAAAAAAAAAAAATCAAATTTTAGCCTAAACAGACTAGCATGTGTAAAATATTTTAACTATAGCCTGTTTTTTTATAAATTATAGGCTTGGGCTCACTTATTTTTTAAAAAATACAATGCTTCTAACTACAGCATCTCCACTGAAATACTTTCATATTCATAGGAGGGCCATTAATTCAAATAGTTCAAGAGATTCTTCTAGAGTCTTGTATTTTATTGAACCTCTCCTGCTAAGGCATCAATCATCATTCTTGAAGATGGAGTCTTCCCATCGAAAGAGATTTGCACCTGCTCCCAATCTTCCAATCCATGTTGTTGGCATCTTTTGAGTAGCTATTTAAATGTCTCCCATGCTTCATAAAAGGATTCATTACCTTTCTTAGCAAAGGATGAGATCTCAGCTTTGAAATTAGAATACTTGGATAGAGTAAAGAATCAAGATAAAATCTTTGTTGTCAGATCCTCCCAAGTGGTAATGTTTCCTTAAGGCAAAGACTGCAACCAACTCTTGGCATTATCCCTCAATGAGAATGGAAACAAACTCAACCAAATGGCATCATCAGAAACTTCTTCACCTTCAAAATGTTGCATAGCTGTAGAAAATTATCAAGATGAAGTTTGGGATCCTTTATGGCTCCTTCTCCAAATTGCTCATGTTGAATCACTTGCAGTAGGGCTGGCTTAATCTCAAAATTATTTGATGCAATCAATTGGTGGTCTCACAATGCTTGCTATGGATCTAGAGACTGAAGGAGCCAAATAATCTTCCATAGTCCTTCTTACAGGTTGTGATTCTCTTTAGCCATAGGTTCTTCTTCTAATAGAGTAGCGTTTAATGCTTCCTATTGTTTCCTTTCTCTAGCAAGCTTTTTATTTCTTTTGCATTTTTCTTTATCTCCTAATCAAACTGCAAGGAATCAGTGTCATAGTATCTCGTATAAACCAAAAATGTAAAGATTAATTAAATTAAAATAAACATTGAATGTAAACAACAAAACAAAATTAAAAATAAAAAGAAAACAAAAAACCAATCTAAAGTGTCTATATATACTACCCTAAACCTCATACATCTTCTTGCATGCACCAAAAAATGTCGCTTTTGGAGGACACTCATTTTGGATAATTGCAAGAATATTCAAGAAATTAGAGGGATTCTGTCCATCTTAAATAAATAAATAAATAGTTTATTGATTTGTTAGTAAGGAAATAAATAATGTGCTATATGTATTCATTAAACATTAGCATTAACATTGTCAATGCTATGTTATTAACTTAAACTGATGTTTACAAGCAAGTGATACCCCTATTGCATAAGGTACTTGGTCCAGATATTTTCCAGTCCAAATATTGTTAATCGAATGGCAAAAAAATTAATATATTGTTTTTTAAATAAAAAATTATGAATTTAGGACAGTTTTGGAAATAATTACACATTTATTGCACAATATCACGTACAATTTGGGCATCACCAATCACACCTAAATTGGGCGTCACTCAAGAGACAATCACGCTTAATTTAGGCATCACTCATCAGGTGTTGACACATGTCACATTTTTTTTTCAAAAAAAAAAATTAACAATTTAATCCTAAAACTTCTGAAAGCCATAACTTTTGACTCAGGTATCCAAATCAGGTAGTTCTTTTTTTGATTCTACATAACTTTTCGAGATCTATGCAATAATTTTTCAAATTGATTTTTGAATTTTCTTCCATAGAGATTTAGAATATTTACTTAATTATTTTCTTTATTAATACAGATTTTTCAAATTGATTTTTGAATTTAAATCACAAACCAAATATTTATTTATGTTTTTATATTAAATCACAAATCCAGAACTCAGAGGCTTCTGGGTTTAACCGCTCTTATAATACCATTCTTACAAATTTAAATTGTGTTTGTGAGAAATAAAATATGTCAAAAAAGATATTCGAATCAAAAGTTATGGCCTTTAGAAGTTTTACGATTAAATTGTTAATTTTTTTTTGGAACAAAAATATGACACGTGTCAACATCTAATGAGTGACGCCTAAATTAGGCGTAATTGCCTCTTGAGTGACGCCCAATTTAGGTGTGATTGGTGACACCTAAATTGGGCGTGATATTGTACAATAAATATTTAATTATTTCGAAAAGAGTCATAAATTCATAATTTTTATTTAAAAAACAATAAATTAATTTTTTTGCCTTAATCAAATACCTGTGTGACACAATTTTATACTTTGTGTTACGTTCTAGCATTTTGAGCGGAAGAAGGAAGAACTTGAGAGAAAAGAAAAAAGTAAAGGTCCCCCCAACACCATCTGGGGAGGAGCATAAGTACCGTAATTCTTAGACTCGCACCCGAACTCTAGATTAGTCTCATAGGCGGCTCAAAGACTCGAACCCGTGAGGATACCGGGGGTTCTGATTTGCCTCAAATAGGTAATTAGGATTAGTTTCCAAAAAGAAAAAGTAAAGGAAACCTGAAAAAGATATTGTTTATTCACTGATTCACTTACAATGTGCAAGACTATATATATAGATCCATTAACACTACTTGAATATACCAATACAGTACTTCTAGTGCAACCGACACTTCAAAACACCTGATGTGTCGTGTCCGACACTACCCGACACTCCGATACTTTCTGACACTCCAACACGCGTTGCAGAGACTCAAAATATGGTTCGAAGGTTGCATTGCGTTTTTAGTTCTAGCAATTAGATTCGTTGGATTACAATTACTATTTTATTGAGTTTAATATAAATATTTGGGGTATCTTATGTTTCTTTGCAAAATTGATGGATATTATAACTTTAGCATCATTTTTTTGTTAAATTATTGAATATTAAATATAATATACTCTACATAAATTAAAAATATTATTTAGTATTAAACATATCCTAATGTGTCAAAATTTAATATTTTTTAGAATTAACGAGTCGGAGTGTCGTATTTTGTAATATCTCGTGTCCTGCGACGGTGCAACTGCTTAAGAAGATAGCAAATGTAACTTCATACTCATAACTTCCTAACTACCACAATATTGAACCCATGTGACAGATGCAACTTTTACAACTAAACTCTAACTGAATTAGAACTCTATTCACATTGATACTGGTAACACTCTCATCCTCTTAGAAATGGACCTTGTCCTCAAGGTCTGATGCGAAAAAAAAAGAAACTGGGGATCTTCTTGGATACAAACAAAAATGGAAAGCACCACAAAAAGCATAAGGAGATACTGTCTTTGAAGGATTGGAATCTGTGATGGCTTTTTGGAAAAATGTATCAACTGTGGCACTCCCTGATGAACCAGAAACAAGGGAGCTCATAACACCAAGGGATATCTCTTGAGCCCAATTTCATAGCACCAAAAACAAGTATGCCTCCTAAACCAATTGATGGCTGAGTTGATGCATTAATTTCCCTTTGATTAGACTTCAACAGCGAAAACTAATCATTTATTTTTGTCCTTCAATAGTTTCCTTGAAGGCCATGTTAATTCGATTCGTTAGGGAGATGATGATGCAAGGGATGCAAACCTACGGTATCAACTTGCTCATTGACTTGCAATTGCAGAACAACTTCTTTGAATGACTAAGGGCTCGTTTGTATTGCCTTCTCAAGAAAGTCATTTTTATCACTTCCTTATTTTAAAAGTAATTTCTATAGAAGTTACGACTATTTAGATTTTTTTAAAAATATTTGATTTTTGAAAAAAATATTTGGCTTTTGACTTCTGCTTTTTGTTAAAGCTAAAATTTTTAGCTTCCGAAAAAAGTAAGTTTTTGGCTTTTTTTATGACTTCTACTTTTTTTAGAAGCAGTCATCCAAACAGACTTTTTTCGAGAAGTACTTTTTTTTCTTAAAAAAGCAGCTTTTGAAGAAAAAAAAGCCCATCCAAACAGGCTCTAAGAAGATGGTTGAGAAGTCAATCTTTATATGGGAGAATCCATGACCAACAAGGATATTCTGATATGTTGCATTTGAACGATGAGTATGAATATCTATTTCTAGTTTTTGTTGAAATGATGTAGAATTTTCAATTAGAAAAAAGAAAGGTTGTCAACAACATCTAGGCTAGATTGTTACTGAGCTCTCATGGTTTTCAAAAATGAAAGAACCAATTACTTTCTACTTTTGAGCGGTAGAAGGAAGAACCTATGAGAAAAGAAAAAACGTAAAGGAAACCTCAAAAAATGAATAATTATCCACTGATTTATTTACAAAGTACAAGACTCTATATATAGACCCATTCACACTACTTGAAATTATACATATATAGTACTTCTATTGCAACTGCTTAAGAACATAATGAATGTTACTTCTTACTCTGTTGAGATATATAGTCTCACATTGGTTGAATGTGCAACTAATGTAGAGTTTATAAGGCCTTGGGCACTCCCACCCTTTGAGCTAGCTTTTGGGATGGTGTATCTCAAGGTTTTTTACATGGTATCAGAGCCTCGCCGCCCCCCACTTTCTCTTGTGGCGTTTCGTAGCACATGTTGGTTGGGCCTGTTGCATTGCCCACGCTTCAAGCCCAATGGGCTCTTGTGTGAGGGGGCGTGTTGAGATATATAGTCCCACATTGGTTGTATGTGCAACTAATGTGGTCTTTATAAGACCTTGGGCACTCCCACCCTTTGAGCTAGCTTTTGGGGTGGTGTATTCCAAGGTTCTTTACATACTCATAACTTCCTAATTAACACAATATTGAACACATATGACAGGTGCAACTTTTATAACTAAACTCTAACTTATTTAGAACTCTATTCATAGGATGCTTGTAACACTTTGTTAACAATGATTCCTTTTAATGCCATTTTTCGCTGAAAGTGATTGTGTAACGAGCAAAGTTTATCAAAGTAGTACAAAAGAATGTGAATGCAAGCAACATTAATTATTAGTTTTTCACATCATTATATCTTTTATGGAAAAGATTAACTTACAGTTGCTTAAGAATAACAAGACTTAAACTCAGTCTTAACTGTTGATCTACTGATTTTGTTGTACCAGCATACACTGATTCTGCTCTATCTTATTCTACATATACTTTCTTTCTTATTATATCGTAAAGAATGGTAAGCTACTCTTTATTTGATTAAATAACATAACTTTTTATTCCTTTACTTAGTGTTACTATGCCAAAATCCTCTGACATTTACTTGAAAGTAGAATTTTTCTTATTATTCTTTTGAAATTTTTGTTAGTCTTTGAAGCTTCTTGATTGTCTAAATATTTGCATGATAAAGAATATGTCACATTTTGTACCCAAAAAAAAAAAGAATATGTCACATTTGGACTAAGTTCGAGGAAAATAAAATAAAATATTCCTATTTTAATAAATAATTAAGAATATATTGCTAACTTGAATGTAATTACGAATATCTTGCATTTATTCATGTCCAAATTGGGCAAGAAGA